TATAAAACTCAGTGCTTCCATGCTGAGCTGCAGTCAAGGCATATTAACAAAAAGAGGGAGTTTTGTAGTGAAAAGGCTGTAACTTGAGTAGCATGATTTGTCTAACACAGAGTTGTAAAGCCTCATATTAACCCCAGATAATCTTTGGAATACACAAAATGTGATCAGTGGATTTTGTCCCTTTCACTTACACAGAAAGCACAATCAGAAGCAGAAAAGCCAGAGGTTCTTCTAGAGGCATGGGCCTGTATTTCCCATGAGGTCTACATCACACTTAACCATACTGTAAACAAATAACCAACAAATTGTGGGAGTCTGTGGAATCTTATATTCCACTTTTACAGATGCAACGCTGAGAGGCAGAGGGGTTTCCCTGCAGCTGAGTCAGTCCTCATCTCAGAGGTCACAGAGGCAAAACTGTAAAGAGCAGCCAACAGAATTTATTGTTCTTCTAAAACTTCTGTCCGGCCCATTGCCAATGCATACTGAACAAATCATTGAACAAAAGACTTACTGAACAATATTTGCATGTGAATGTGTTAAAAACTGTGACCCCTATAGCACCAGTGCAATCTCCTGAGAAAGTCTGAAAACTTGTGCTCTGTGGTCAAGATGCAGTCGGAGCATTAAAATGATGGATTCTGGTTCTCGCGCACTGATGTGGCTCCATTTCCTGGCATTAAAACAATGAAAATGATGGATAGGAAAATTCTAATTACTGTTAATCAACTTCTTCCAGGACCACATTTCCTTCTTACAATGAAGAGTATATTAGGCCATCACTTTTCATTTCACAGCAGCACGATTACTGTTAGCCGACAATGCGCATGACTTAAAAGCCAGTATGTATGTATGTGGGGGCTTGCTGGCAGCAGGTGGTTTAAAGTGAACTAGGTTCTGTGGTATAAATTATTCTAGAGACACCGAAACGTGTGGCTTGATACCTGTTACCTGTCTATTCTTATGTCCATAGACTGAGCAAAGAGACTATCTATTTAGCTGCTGATATTATTAAGTGCTACACAATGTACTGCACTTCTTTATGAGCCAGAAAAAGCGTGTTCAGCCATTTGCCACTGAAATGCTGCATAGGCGCTTTCGTCAACACCAGGAAACTGACGACAGTGAACCTCCTCTCTCACATGTATGTTCTGGCTTTTTTTTGCTGTAAGAAATGTGAAAGTCAGTGACGACATACAGTATTCACACTCATTAAACTTCCAGAGGGGAGGGGCTCTGAGGTGGCTCTCCTCCGTTTGCTGCGCGGCTGCTGACCCCTGACCCATCTTGTTATAGGACAGCTGCCAGCTTAATGCAACCTTGGCAGAGCTGCCACCTTCCCTTCCCATTAGTCCAGTCATTTTCCAGGCTAAAACTCGTCGCTGACCTATTTTTAGCAACAAGGGGATGGGACTTGTGGGATTTTAAGCCACTCAGGATGCACAATTAATTCTGTATCAGGTCAATATATTCTCAGGTGTACGCTGTTGATGTGTTGTGGTCATTCATGAAGCAGCAGCTCAAAGTAAAAATAAAGAATCTTTGCTGATGAGAAACACATGTAAAAATAGATATTATTTTTTCAATCAAATATAAGTTGTTTCATTGTCTAAAAAGCAGGGGATCACACTCTGGCCGTGTGATTAAAACAAACTGAAACCATGAATGGGTAGAGGAATGGGTGCACTCACACTCGTGTACTCTTTAAAACACCTCAGGCTCCCTCTCCCCCGCCACCACGTGCGAGAGCAGGGTCCACAGTGTGGCTTGGACCCATCACAGAGTGACTCAGGCTGCTCTCCATTTGAAAAATTAAACGGGGGGCCGTTTGGCAGAGTTAAATGAGGCCCCCAGGAAAAAAAAAAAAAAAAACATGCTGAGCTCAGCACAGCTCCTACAATCTCAATCACAAAGGAGGAGGTTGGCGCGCTGATGTAATGGCCGCCGCCGCCGCTGTGCTGCCGCTGCCTTGGCAGGGGAGGAGAGCTCGTCAGCACAGCCCTACTAATTCATCTCCCCCCTCCTCCTGGATCAAGGGTACATCAGATATCATTAACAAAGAAAAAAAAAAGGCGAGCAATGGCCAAGCTCAGAGAAGACACAGAGAGGATGAGGCCATCAGTGGGCATTTCTCTGACTGCACCACGGAAAGTGACAGAATCCCTTAAGAAAAAAAAAAAACACTTCAAGATGACCGAGAATTTGTCGAGTCATAGAGGATATAGGCCTGTACATGTTGAAGCATGTGTTCAGAGGTTTATTACAGGCTCAGTGGTAAAGCTGCCCCACACCTGTCAGCAGTTATGCACCTGTAGAGTTGCTCCACAATCATATAACATCCCTCATAAAAAGACTACAGCTCCAGAACCATTAAAAGACATCATCTCTTCTCCTGACAGAAACTGTAACTGAAACAACTCAGTCATTCTCCTATTAGGATTCAGTAGGTAGACTGCCATTAAGAGTATTTATTGATGGTTTGCATGAATCATTGGATTAGAGTGTATTATAATAATAACTTTGCAGCAGAGGTTCCCAGCCTGGGCCCAACAATGGGACACAAAAATAAAGGGGTCATTAGATGATTAACAGATGAGGAAAGGAGAAAAAAGTTATGCTTCTTTTTTCGGATGTTGCTGAAAGTCTTTGTTGTTTCTTGTAATTTTACTTTTTTCATGAACAAAATGAGTTTTGAAAAAAAAATGTCTTCAGCTGAACTGGTTACAGCTGGTAGACAGATGCGACCATGAAGGAAGGGGGGTGGCAAGTGAGCATTGCTTCGTTTTTTAAAAGGTCACATGGGAAAAACATTAAGAAGCACTGCTTCACAGCAAAATCCAATACAAACACTGAATCCATGAGGATTTCCTCTCATTTACTGACCTGCAAATTCTGCCACAATTATTGCAATTTTCCATACAGGACTTTTAATTTCTCTGATACTCATCAAGTGATACATACACAGTGTAGTAGCCTCATTGCATGGTGTCACTGCAATATTCCAATAGGATATTTTATTGTGATCTTTTGTTAATAAATAGATATTGTCTTTAAAAAGACACAGCAATTCAAAGTCTCACAATTAACTGAGTTGGAGGGGAGTTCTGCCTATTTTAAGAATTAATTTTTCCTTACATTTAATCTACATTTATTTCTGCAGATAAGACAGATCAACCAGCTTTTATGCTTTTAGTTGGTGACAGTTTCCTAAAGACAGAAATCAAGAATAAAAAAATCGCATCAGAGCGAGGAAGATTCAGCGGCTGCTTCATAGATAATAAATAAGCTGCTGACTTTGTCAAACTGTGGCATGTCACACTAAAATGAGCTTACTGTACATAAACCAGGTTTTAAACCTAATTTTGTTTCCACACCAACTACACAGTCCAGCTCAGCGTCGACGCAGCAGAGCGTATCTTTCAGTCCAGTTTAAAGGTCATATGTTTACCTCTCCTGTCCTGTCTTTTAGAAAAGCACAGTGGATGAGAAGTATTGACCGAAGTGTTCTGTGGCACAGAAATAACATATGTGAATTATTAAAATGGGTGGCATTTAAAGAAGCAGACTGCACATGAACTTCCACTGCCTTGTGCTTGTGAGTTTTCACAAATCTTATCTTGACTACATGCTTAATTTTATTCTGTTTATTTATTTATCTATCAGTATGTTCAGTTACTGAATTAGTTTAGTTTGACATTATAAGGAGGACACTGTATCACGCACTACACTAAAAATTTCATTTTGGGCACAATAAAGTCCAGTTTGTTGTCATTTATCTTTAATTTATGTACCAGTGACTTAACATCGAACTGTTGCACTGTTACAAAATCAGTTTTACGGTATTACTGTGTAAGCTGAAATCAAAACATAAACGTAATTCAAAACAAACTGATCTAAACTCAGTTAAAGTGAATGTGGACCTGCATCATTGCAGTGTAAATCTGCCATTATGGGATTTTCATTATCTAAAGCAGACTGACCTCTCCATAACTGACACATGCTTGCAGACATGGTAAGAAAAGTCTGCAAACAAGCATGTAAAACACCCACCATTGTTGTCTACAGGACAATTTGTTCCTCTTTCTTCTGGAAGTTTTTATGTGTGGAAAAAATGGCAGAAACAGCAGTAAGAAATTTGTGCTCTTTGACCATGTTCACAACCCAGTGAAGCACCCACACTGTCTTCTTCTAATACACTGCTGCTGCTATATACTGCTGCCGCCTAGTGTTCAGACAAAAACACTGTGACTCAGTGCAATGCAGACAAGAAAAAAAGAGACATGAACAGATACAGGAAGTAAATTACTTAAAACTTTATTTTAACAGCACTTTTCAAAACAAAGTTAGAAAGTGCTTTACATAATTGACATTTAAGGACTGCAATGATCATTCATTTATAAATAACACAAAAATAAAATGTAATAAGATACCCAGCAATAAGACAAGATAAAACTGTAAAAACAACAATGATAAAACACATGAAGTTTTGAGAAGTGACTAAAAGATTAAGATTAAGATCTAATTATGTCTCATATCTCCACATAATGTACATAGAGCACTTAATTCAGTTGAAAATATTAAACCTGTCTTTCATTTTGTTTGCAGTTTTAGTCCCTGCAAAGAAAATGTTAAAACTATTGACTGTAAAATCGACATTGTATTATTAGATATTAAATTATAATGCCACAACGTGTAAATATGTAAAACTGTTCATTTTAAAATTATCCAGAAAAAAAATCTAAAGTCAAGCTCTAAAATAATTGATTATGTACATTTTATTCGAGGTGAAAATCAGTTTTAAAATATATATTTGGCATTTTTGTGTCTTCTTTACTGATAATTGTGACCGTTTTGATAATTTCGCTTTTAAAATGTATGGGATAAAATATTAAAATATCGTGACAAGATCTGTTTTGCTGAGGCACAGCCAGTCGCCCCTTTACTCAATCGATTACTGATTTCAAAATCGGGGCTCTACTATTTTCCCTGACGTCGCGTCCAGGAAAATAAATCAAGTCAGGATTAGAGCACCGGCAGAGAGAGACGACACATTTAAAAGCAGAGATGGTAAGAATGAATGAAATTTAATATACGTTGGTCAACTTAGCATCATATAATATGTCTGCACAGTAAATAAGTCGCACATCACGTATCAAGATATTCAGAAAACGTGAGTCATTTACTGACTTTAAAGGTGCCGGTAGTTAGCTAACTTTTGCACTGTGAGTAAGCAAAACACCTTCAGTAGCCGCTAACGTTAGCCGCACGGATGCTAACTGGACTCACTGTGTGTTCAAAGAAACGGTTTACAGCTAACATTTGTCGGACGATATCATATTAAATCGTGTTCATAATCAACCCGGATTATTTTAATATAACGCCAAATAACGTATCGCAGTCCCGTTGCTATGTACTTAGCCGGCTAGGAGCTAGCAGGATTTAGCCAGCACAGGCGGAGTTAGCATAACTCAAACCAGCAGTGATGTCGGGTCTTTTACTTTCGTTTTCCCTTAGACTAATAACTTCTTTTTGTGAGGCCAGCACACACAACTCCAGTAGCTGGTCATTGTAATGATTAGGTAAACTTTCATATAGTTTTCATCCAGCTAATGTGAGCTAGCTTTCTGTAGGATCCAGCGCTGCACAGTATTATTAATAACCTTAACTAGTTTGGTGCCTGCTCTCTGATGCTCTCTGTTGATTGTCTATGGTGAGTGGCTGTGTACAAAGCTGAGATCATCAATTATTCAGTAATGGTGGTAATTTAAAACCTATTTCTAGAAAGGTCCGGGCTGTAGACGTGTTCAGAGTCTTGTGTAGTCTCTGTGTCTGAGAAAGCAGCTGATAATGCAAGACAACTATGTAAGCTCAGCTCCCATGTGTTATGTAATAAGTCTATTTTTTTAATACCAATTCAAATGTATTGTTTTTTCCAATCTTTAGTTCCGCAATCAGTACGACAACGATGTGACAGTGTGGAGCCCGCAGGTAAGTTGCTGTTTGACTTCACCTCTGTTTTATTATTGGCATGCCATAACATGACATGTTAACAATGTTAATTTGTGCACAGGGCCGTATTCATCAGATCGAGTATGCCATGGAGGCAGTGAAACAAGGCTCTGCAACTGTAGGACTCAAATCGAAAACCCATGCAGTCCTGGTTGCCCTAAAGGTAAAATCTTCCTCAGTGTTCTTATGTTGTTTCAGTCACGTTCTGTCTCAGAGCATTAGTACAAAACTGATCACTGTCCATTTTGTTTCAAATATCCACTGCATATTCAACCAAACTTAGCAAGACAGTTCTGTGTTCTACAATACTGTATGTTACTGTCAAAGCAATAAATTATACCTACCCTGTGGCAGGAACTCTGTCAATATACCTTTATCATCAAGCTAACTACCACAGGCAGAAGCCATCTGGGTCAGAGGTGTGTTTTCGAGTGTCAGTTTACTCTGAAGTTGCATTAATATTACATGAGGTCCCTCCTGCTGTGAACTGCCAAGCATTTATCAAGGTACTGCTGTGAGTCAAATGACAAGCATTTGATCAGACATGATTGATGCATCATGTTTTGTGTCTCTGCAGAGAGCCCAGTCTGAACTGGCTGCCCACCAGAAGAAGATCCTCCATGTTGACAACCACATCGGCATCTCCATCGCTGGACTTACTGCTGACGCCAGACTGCTCTGGTAAGTCACAGACACTGATGGTCTAGATGGAACTCGTCAGTAAAACTGTATATTAAAATATGTACTTAGTTTTACACAGTGCCAACACTGTCTCTTCCACAGTAACTTCATGCGTCAGGAGTGCCTGGACTCCAGATTTGTCTTCGACAGGCCCCTCCCCACGTCACGTCTCGTCTCTCTTGTTGGCAGCAGTATCCTCTCTAATGTTGGCTTGAAGTTCTGTAATGTATAAATGTCATGCTATTGTTAAGACTTCATAGGCAGCATGAGAAATTAACAACAGCTGACTCTAAATGCAGGGACAATTTGTCAAAGTGTCTTGCCAGTTGAAAGTATTAGAAATGTAAGAGGTCCTGCACCGTGTCAAATTGTAAGAATACTGAGCAATACTCCCCTCCCCTCTGTATATGTGTCAGCGGGCTGCTTCCCTGTGTGAATGAGGGAAACTGAACAAACTACCGACTGTTAAGCTGTCTCAGAGAAATAAAATGATAAGTGTGACTATCCGTGATCCTTGACTGAAACTCCAGAAACCCAAATCCCAACACAGAGGTATGGAAGGAGGCCCTATGGTGTAGGACTCCTCATTGCTGGTTTTGATGTAAGTTTGCTCACTCGCACTGTTTGTCAGATATTTTACTTCTGTCCCCTGTGAAAGAATAAAGGTTATACAATTCCGGAATATAGTGTGAAATTTGACCACTGGTCTTGTTAATTTGTTGTGTCACCCAGGACATGGGACCTCACATCTTCCAGACCTGCCCATCAGCCAACTACTTTGACTGCAAAGCCATGTCAATCGGAGCGCGCTCTCAGTCTGCACGCACCTACCTGGAGAGATGCATGGACAAGTTTTCTGACTGTAAAATGGAATTGAATTTACTATTCTTGCATACTCTTATTTCAACTGTTGAAACTAGGAGCTCTGTTTTTGCGTCTTCTTTAGGCAGTTTATTCATGCATCAGACATCAATAGTAAATAATTTGGTCATCACTGTTGCTCATCGTTGCAGTTTGTTTCAGGGTCATGATTGCACAAAAGCATGTAAAGAATTGAACATCTCAGTACCACTGAGTGTATTTTACCTGCTGATTGACACCTGAAAAAACCTCATTTCATCTCACCCTTGGTATTTTTGGTTCTCAGGTAATCTGAATGAGCTGGTGCAGCATGGCCTCCGTGCTCTGAGAGAAACCCTCCCCACCGAGCAGGACCTCACCACCAAGGTACGTCAGATCTACAGCTTTATTAATGAATCTGGTTCTAAGATTTAGAGGTGTACGTTAACAAATCTCATATTAAGTTTTGTATTTTTTTAATTGGAAAAAACAATGTACAAAACCTAAGTCAAGTCGTTCGGCCAAATGGCAAAGAAGTGTCTCATCTGTTTAGTAAAACCGATTTCTAGTTCTTTGACTGTTACCTCTGAAATACCATGTCCTTTATAGAAGTAAATAAGGGATTCAGAAGGTGAAAAGACACTGGATTCACAGTTGATAAAATGCTATTAAAGCCCAACTTTTGTGGCACTGAAGATGTTGCCATCTTTTTTTTTTTTAAATGCCTCCTCCACTAGTTATTTCATTAGTAAATTTTCCCTGTGTTTCTCAGAATGTTTCCATTGGCATCGTGGGGAAGGACATGGAGTTCATCATTTATGATGATGATGATGTTGCCCCCTTCCTGGAGGGACTGGAGGAGAGGCCACAGAGAAAGGTACTGCAAAGGGTTCAATGATTGATCAAGTCCAGTTTGGACTTGTGCTTGGTTTCATTCAGGGGAAAAAAAATAAAATTCCTTTTTTGTTGTGAGCTACAAAGTTATGACAGATTGGATTAGTCTGAAAGCAACATGTGTTTCTAGCTCTTACTTTGGGCTCCTCATTGAAATGCACCATTAGCATGTGCTGTTAAAACACATGTACCTACATAGGGTTGGGCGATAAAACAATAGCAATAATTATCGCAAGATTATTTTCCTCGATAGAAACGCAAAAAATGTTAGATAAATGTTCGATATAATTAATTTCCATGCTTATAGCATGACCGGCCAATCATGTCGCAGGAATAGAGGTCTGTACTGTGCAAGTTAGGATGCACGGTGAGAGGTATACATACAGGCCAGCACGTGATATTATTTACAGACGCACGCAGAGGATGACGGGCTTGAAGTTGGAGAGGAGCAAACAAATAAGGCGAAATGAGCGACACCGCAGAAAAAGCAGAACGCAGCTCGGAGAACGAAGATATCGTCGACGAGAGAGGCCACTCAACTTTAGTATTTTGGAGATGTTTGGGCCGTTTACAGTCTGATAAAAAAACAGAGCAATGTGCAGTGCGCACTGCCGGAGACACGTTCCATCAAAGACAGGCAACACCACAAACCTGTTCCATTACAGGGCCAAACGAGTCTTAGAGGACCCTCGACGAGCGCCAGGCCTGTACCCTGTGCAAATCTTCTATTTTTTTTTTATTTAATTTTGCAGTCTGATCATGTTACATGTGTGATGTATCACAGCACAGAACTTAATTCTTAATTCTATTTACTTTGAGTAAAAAGGACTGAATAAGAGTTTGATTTTAATCAGGTATATTTTATCAAATTCTGAATGTCTGTACCTCAGAGTTTTTAATGTTCTGCTGTTTGGCAAGTGTTTGGTCATGTTCTGACTAAATAGAACAGTTTAAAACCAGTTGACTGTCTGGTTTCTTCAACTTTCACTCAAGAGCCAAAATCAGCCTTTAAACCTGAAAGAAAAAAACGATGTGGCATTTATTAAGATCAATATCGACTGAAATGGAAATTTTTATCCTGATAACAGTTTTGGCCATATCGCCCAGCCCTACCTATACAGGTTCAGGGCAAATATTTAACTTTTGAAGACTGAAAACGATGATAAAGTGAGATTTGATATATCTATGCAACACTTAACACAAATGGTCTGTTTCTGTTCTAGGAACATTAATATCAGTGTTAGATTCTGAATTTTGTGAACTGAAGAACATTTGTGTGTCTCAGGTTGCCCAGCCCGCAGATGAACCTGCTGGAGAGGCACCCGATGAGCCAATGGAGCACTGAGGCAGCGATTCCTGCAGATCCCAGACCAACCTGACACTTAACTGCAACTCACCAGAGTAATTCTTAGAGGGGAAAGTTGTTGTTGTGATGTGCCACTTGCTAAACTGTTCCAAATATCCAAAATATTCTCTGCTGACATCAGCCAGTGTGATGTTGCTTTTGTATGAGTAAAGTCCATTATACAAGTAATAAACTCTTTTTTTGAATTGTGCTGCTGCACTTCATTTCATTCCATATTTATCCGACCTACATTGAGTCTTACAGCAGAATCTTTTTCAGTATCTAGAAGATCAGATCTGCAGTTAACAAAATAATAAAAATGGACTTTCAAAAGTCTGACACGGCTTGTTTACAGTTTTTATCTTGTGGCAATTTAAAGTAAAGTACATCAAACTTTAAAAGCACAGAATGTAACTTCTGCCTCTAGGGCTCTTCTCAATCAAAATGATAACAAAAGATTGCGTTGGGTGATGTCATGAAATAGTGTGGGATCATGGGAGTTGTCTACAGCACCATTGCCCTCAGTTTCTCCTCGTTTGGATTCCTTCAGTGTCAGTGGTTCAGTAAATGGAACAGACCCGATGATTCTAACCATTAAAAACACTGAATGAAACAGTTTGACATTTAAAGTCAGTGTTTGAGCGACGCTGTACGGAGGACAGAGACTCAGGGAAGAGCTGGAGCTGAGACTGATGCTAACCTTTGTTCTGATTGTTTCTCTGATAATTTATGAACCAGATGATCAGGAGCCGAATTATCCAGAGAGGTGTCTTCCTCTCCATGACAAACAGACCAGGGGACTAAAACCACTAGAAACAACAAATACAGCAGTTTCATGTTAAAAATCAGTGATTCACTGACGCAGCTCAGCGGACATCATGGCTGTGAGCTGAGCTGTCAAACTTTAACTCAGCTTTCCTCTCTGATAAAATAAGATCCAGACGTCCGATGACTAAAATCCTTCATCAGGTTGAAATATATAGTTGAAAACGGCAAAGGTGTAAAAAAGTATATCTTAAAAATGTGGCCTAAAACTAGATAAAAGTAAATTTTGAGCTTCTGGCAGGAAACCACAACACCAACACATGCACATACAGGATATGATGTCATTGACAGGCGACCAAATGACACAAAGCGTTGCCATGATTAAAATCACAGATTTCTCTGGTTTGAGAATTGATGAAAGCATTTGGGATAATGTAAGAACACAACTCGACAACATATAGAACATAGCTCAAGTCATTTTTAGACATTTTAATGTGGAAAAGTTACAGATTATGACTGTAAGTCTTGAAACTGGAGAAACCAGAGGGCCCAGAAAATTTCATTCACAGTATTTTAATCACTGATTCGCATTCTCAGGTGCTTTTCTGAACAGTTCATAAATAAATAAGTTTTATAAAAGTAAAAATATTTAAATCATTTAGAGTTGAAGACAGCAGGTTTGTTAAACACTTAAAACATTGTTGGTACAGAGGACACATTTTCTCCAGCACAAACACTGTTTATCTAGAAGACAGAGGGGACACTATTAATGCCCAGTATACATAGTCGCGTTTTGTGCAGTGCATTTATTGTCTATTCACATATAAAGGTGTTAAACTGAAACCAGCGACTTAACCGCAGAGAGTTTAAAATGGCTGCAGTGTTTGGTTCAACACATGAACAAACAGTGGAAAAAAGAACAACCCCTCAATAATAATTGGTGTTGGTTTTGTTGCTAACTAGGTTTTCATCAGCTGCATAATTCCTGCCCAGAAAAACATGTCCTGATCTGAGCTAAAATGACTTATTCCTGGTGTTTCCAAAATGTATCAATCTGCAGAACAAGTGTGTTTTGAATTGGCCCGATTCAGTCTCGTTTTCTATTCATTTATAAATCGTATGACCAGCTTTAATGCAAGAACTCTGAAACGGAATAGTTTTAGATCATTTTACAGGAAAAGAAACTGATGCTTGCTGAGATAAAGGCTTGGAGAGATCAAGTATGAAAAGTAACTCAACACTTCCCTGACATATAAACACTGGGTTTGTTCCCAGCCAGCAGCACTTCAAGATACTGGTTGTCAATATTTTTTTTTTTTTTTTACATAAAATCTGGACCTGAAGAAATCCTATCTGCACTTGTTGGTTTAAATTAAATGAAAAAATACGAACTTCTATCTTGTGCAGACTTCTATCATATTTGACTGAGATCATTAAAAAAATTAGACCCTTGTTTTTCCAAAGAAACATGTTGAGTATATTTGGAAGGTTTAAGACCATAAATGTATTCCTTTCTAAGCCAGTAAATAAAGCTGATATTAATGATGAAAGCTGTGCCCTGTTCACACGTCGCTCATTTATTCACTTCAAGTAAAGATAAATAAAGCTGCTCATGCTACTGCCCATCTGATGGGAACAGATTTAAAAAAAGAAGCCGTCCTCACAAACACCAGGCTCCAGTTTATATGCGTCATGTCAGAGTCAGTGAGCGGCCTTCTTTGCTCTCCTCCTCTTGTTCCTCCGTCTGACCTGGCTCTGGGCAGGTTCTGTCTCCACGGGCCGGGTCAGGTCCTCCATCTTCTCCTGCTCCATCATGGACGTCATCTTCAGTGTGAGCTCCAGCTCCTTCAGGACTCCGGCCAGGTCCTCCTCTGGGACGCCCAGATCGATTTTACCCCCTCCCTCCTTGTGTTCGTGTAGGTGCGCGCTCTCGTTTACACCTAAATCGCTCCCTGACCTCATGTCTTCTTCGCTCGCTGCTGTAAAGTCGGACTCTCTCACAGCGTCTGCGCTCAGATCCTCGGCCTCCTCAGCTTCTCCTCCACCCGTCACATCCTCAGCAGGAATGTCTTCCACCAGGTTGGCTCCGTCGGCCTCAGTCCTCTCAGCCTCGGCCTCCGTCTGTGGACTGTGGTGCGGCTGATTGTGCTGACAACAGCAGCGGGACTGTTGCCAGTACTGATGAGGTTGCTCAGGATAATCTGCGAGTGTCGAGAAATTGAATGAGTCACTTATTCAACAACCATGATGCTGCACCTTCACTGAACTACCTATGTACTGTATGTATTACCTTATCCATGTATCGTTCCCAACCAGGGCTGCAGAGGTATTGCAAGTGGGCCGACAAATCATTTGCAAAACAGAACAATTTTGGTGAAAAGGTGTAATTATATATATAAAAAAATAAATAATATTTTAAAGTGTTTTAAAAGAAAATGATTCTTCTTCTGTTTCTCATATTAAGGACAATCACTGTGATAAACCAATGATGGAATGAGGAACCAATGAGGAACATTTCAAGGACCTACAGAAATGACAAGAATGAGCTGGGAAACTCTTCTGTGTCACATTATGACTTGATGAGTTTATATTAGTCTTTATGTAAACTCCTAAACTAAGATATCAGATTGATTTCCTCTCAGCACAATGTGATTAAAATGAACTTTACAGAAACTTGAAAGTTGTTTGAGATACATAAATTATTCCACAACACATTATTTTGCCTTCAGTCTTCATCATTTCCTCCACCAGATTTTTTCCAGTTTACTATTAAATGGTGAACTTGACCAAAATCACTAAACGAACCAACAAGCAGAAACAGAGTTCACATGATCCATCTCCTGCTTTGAAGACATGGGACACATTGAGAGACACTTAAAGGTGGTAAGAGGTGGAGTTTAAAACAGAATTCCTGCCTTACACATACAGCAATTCTACGTTGATGCAACATTATAAAGTAGTGCAGTGTTCAGGTACCTTCCCAGTTGTCCTGGGCTTTCTTCTCTGGCGTGATGCCCTCCACCAGCTGGCCCTCCTGCATCACCCGGGTTATCTCGGTCAGCTGCTGCAGCAGGCTCTCCTCCTGATCGGCCATCACTCCCTTCACCCTGCAGCACAGACACAAAACCAAACACTCGTCGTCATGACGTGTGCAGTTTATCCTCACTGTTTCCATTGATCTATCTCACAGTTAAAGTTACATATTTAACTCCAAGTTTCTTTACTATAATTATACACTGATTAATTGAAGGCAAATCAGGGACTCTAGAACTAACAAGAAGCTTCTTTTATATTTTTCTAGAAATACTACTTTAACACAGCTGTTTCATATTTGTGAGAATAAAATAAAAAAAATAACAGAAACTTTCATATTTTGAAGTAAATATACTGAAGTAACTGATAGTAATGAGTAATTCATTTTTAAACTTATAAACTAATAAGATTTAAATATGCAGCCCAGTCACACATGGAAGTGTTGAAAACAACCCACATAACAACAGGAAATGACCTTTATGGGAGGGTCATGTTTGTCTCATTCTTTGCTGTGGAACACATTATTGTATGAGTTACAATTGCATTAACGAAGGGAGGGGAACTGATGATATGATGATCCCTCAGCAGAGGCACACACCCACCTGTCAGGGCTGTGGTGGGCGTTGGAAACAATATTCTCCATCACCAACTCTGTTTCCCTCAGTTTCTCCTGCAGCTGAGCCAGCTGGAAGTCCGCTGGAGGACAGAAAGAGAAGGAGGTGAAGAGTGAGACCGATCAAATTAAACTCCAGATCTGTTAACCTCAAGAGGAAAGTATCTAATAGACCAACTTGTGCAGGCAGGTGCAGTTTTTCCCACAGGTTTAAACACAATCTCAGCTCAAACAAACTACAATACAGATAAAAATCAACCGAGGAAATGGTTTGGTAAATGTGCAGTTGTTGTTTTCACAGCCGGAGAAAACTGACATTCATCCAATTACTTCACACTGCAAGAAAATGAACCACAGCAAAGCTACCAGAGGAAAAAATCCTGGGCTCTTGAACGTGCCCTACACAAAGGTCAAGTGTGTGGTGGTGGTGACTGCCTGACAAATGCATTGCCTGGGCTGCCCTCACAGTGGTGGAGCTGGTCAAAGGGGTTTAATTACAGGACGGAAGCAGTGGTAAAATAAAAATAAACAATCATTCCTCTCCGTTGATGTTCGTAGTTTCAGCAGTTAACGACACAGAAATAGCAAAAAAAGTAATTGATTTCATTTCCGCATAACAAAACAATAATTAGGACCAACCATGCTATGTTTATTTGACTGTTTTGATTATTATTTGTTTTATTTGCCTCATCTGACAATTAAAATTACTAATTAATCAATAACACGAATTACTGTGTGATGAGGCTAAATCTAGAACTGCTAGAGTAGACCCCAGCGCTTTGTCTGGAGGGAAACATGCACAGAAGAGGGCAGACGCCGCCCTTCAGGGCCGTCCAAGTGGTAGAACAAACCGACATGAGCTCTCTGTTCTGCGACGGGAGAACAAACGGCTGGACAGGCAGGTGTACAGCATGTTCAGAGACATACAGAGCTACAATACTGTTGAAGAACTGAGATTGAAGTAAGTGCCGAAGTTGCTAAATGCTAAAAGAGTGAGTATGTTGTTGTTGGATGGTACTCACTGATCTTTCTCTTCATGTTCTCTGAGCGGACAGAAGGAAACCGGCTCTCTGTCGGTTTGCTGCTGCTTTTAGACGTGATCTAACAGGGAGACAACAAAGTCTGAAAACAACACATCACAACAAACCTCACAGCAACGTGTCTGTCTGTGTTCAAACCACTTCCACACTCACCTTCATGTCTGTCAAACATCATTCTTACTTTTTAAAGCAGAATTTAATTACTTATTTTGTGCTTCATGGTTTTATTTTTATTTCAATTTGAAATATTTTATTTAGAAATTGATAGCAGATAGTGATGTAGATTTTGATGCAATAAGGGAACAAATGTTGTTTAGAGCTGCAGCGAGTCGTCAATTTAACAATGAATGAACAGAAAATCAACTGGCAACTTTTTATTTCAAGAAAAAAATGCCAAAATCATTTGATTCCGGCTCCTCCAATGTGAATATGTGCTGGTTTCCTCATTCTCCTACAGTGAATATCTTTATATGATTTTGGACAAAACACGACATTTGAAGACATTTCTTTGGGCTCTGGGATGATAATTTTTTTCACAATTTTCTGACATTTTATTGATGAAACAGTTAACTGAGAGAACAGATAAATTGTGAATGAAGGTAACAGTTAGTTGCAGCCCTACCATAGTTTGGAATATTTTGATACCAATAAGAACCCTGAGTTTCAATGCAACAACACCAAACTTCTACATTTGCAATACTAAACTTGTCAAGCAGCCTTATAGGAACTTGGCCAAATGAAACAACATTGGAAAAATAAAGAATATGTCAGATCAAAGAATAAATAAACAAGATTACAAATGTCTAACATTCATTGCCAGGTTGCCAAAGTTAATACTTTGAGCTACAGATACATTTCAGTCTGTACCAAAAAGTACTGAGGTTTCTTACCCAGCCCTTCTGTGACATTTTGAATGCAGGACTTTTAAACATATTATTTCCATTAAATGAAATCCTGTTTATTTTTGCCTCAGGTTTTTAGACGTCTTTGTATATGCTTTCAGCTTTCTGCCTCCACTGCACAAGCTTTTGGTTATTTTTAATTCGTGTATATATGCTTCGTAATAGGAGTAATCAATGTGCAATCAAATAAAATAAATAAAATAAACATTTTAAAGGAATACCAAAGTACTGTGGTATTAAAACTTTTACAGTACACATCAGCTGTGTATTGCGTCTCCAGGATTTCACCTTGAACAATATGTAGAGGATGTAGAGTAAGATCCCGAAGCCGTACACGGGGATGATCTGTCCTGCCAGGTTGGATTTGCCTCCGGTTCCCGCCCCCGTTCCCACTCCCTTCGCCTTGGCTATGGCCTCAGTGTTGTGGGCTCTGGAAAAGCCAGCGCTCGCAGCCCTCTGGCCACGGCCCTCCGGGGCCGTCTGACGGTGCACCATCGGAGGGAAACGACCAGAACCTGCAGGGAGGGGAAGACGGGTGAAGAGGAAACGTGACTAATGTACAACATAAATAACAGCAGATAGAATATAACACAAACTCAGTATCTGACTGGTTGTAATGAAGGGATTTCTTTGGTACTTTCTAATCTTTTAAATCTGCAGCATCTGTTGAATGTGGCTTCCATTTAAGTTACTGTCTGATGTTATAAATATCCTGTTCTTGCCACAACTGGATATGAACAATGAGCTTGTAAACTGAAGTCAAGTATTTTAAATCAAGGACATAGAAGTAGTGGTATTGTGACATCTTTATAGAGCCCTTTACTCACTGAAACTGACAGGGATAATTAAAGAACATAAACAACGGTTTTTAGGTGGTTTGACTCAACAGCCGAAAAGATGCATCAAGCCTTAAAATGACTCCATTAAGAGGATGGATAATGAAAGTACAGTTTCAGTTCATTCAGTTTGATATTTAAATAATATACAGTATGTTAGGTATTTAAAAAAGATATTCAAAAAAGACAATTAATAGTTTAGAAAATACAGAACATCTGCTTTTTCACTGTGCTTATATACAGCGGTTTCAGTGTTCAAGTCTTATTTCAATTATCTCTGTATAATGCATTTTCATACAACAGCCCTACAATACATCCCTACTTCATAAAGGTTTATTTGTTGATTAGTTGTGAAACATTCTCTGGTTCCTGCTTCTCAAATTGAGGATTTGTAGCATGTTACTTTTTTATCATTGTAAATTTAATATATTCTAGATTAAGACTGTCTGTCAAACAAAACAAGCAGGTGTAAATGGAGCTCTGGGAAATTTAGTCACTATACTGAAATACTGAAAAATGACTAATGTATTATTTGATTATTATTATTATTATTTATAGATTTCTAGCCCTAAGCAAAGATTACACAGCATAATACCCACATGCACGACATAAAATCATTAGATTAATAGATTGTGTTAGTTTTACTTGGCTTAATATTATCTTTATTTTATACGTATTATTATAATCATTAAAAAAAAAAAAGAAGGAAAAATGAAGGTGTCGGTATTTTAGCGCCCTCTTCAGGGAGGAAAATGTGACTGCAACAACGATGATCCATCGGTACACATTTTGTTTGAGGTACAAAATAAATAGACATTATATCACCGCTATAAAAGCCAGTAAATTAAAAGCCTTCCTCCTCCCCCAGAAAAGCCTCCACACATCGAGCTGGAGGCGTTTTGACGACCAGGAGAAACCGTTAACGGTGACGCACCCTCCGGCCGCTCAGCAGCATCCTTCCTCCCTCGGGACAGCAGCAGTTTGGGAAGCAGCAACGCGACGCACAGCACGAGACACGTCGCGAGAGTGACCTTCTGAAACGTTGACATTACCATGACGACAGGTAAACGGTCACCGTCCTACTGAAGAAACGCCGGGTTCTGACAGGTACACAGTGGGCGAGCAGAGGAGCGGGGCAGGTTGAAGTCGCTCGGCTGGACTTCCTTGTGTTGACTGAAGGAGCGGAAGTGGACCTGGGCTGTAACTACCGTATTTCACCGCTGGGTGGCGCCAAAGGACCGCCTGAGTGATTTTAATGAGCGGTACAGCAGCCTGAGAATTAACACTTATTAATATAGAAAAATATAGCTTTATGTACTATCTCAGGAAATGTCATAAATAATTGAGAGATTCCGGTCACAGTTTTGTTTAATTTAATGGCCCATAAAAAGATGTATGTAAAGTTTGGGCAAATTACATCCTCTACCATCATTGTTTGGAAGGGGAGATAAGTAAATAGTAAGAAGTAAAATGCACTATTACTTTTTATTTCATGAACTGTAAGTAAAAACAGCACTAAGGGCATGTGAAAAAAGTTTGGGCACCTACAAACCCACTCATTGGATTTCTCACATGTAGGAAATGTTTTTTGTAGCCGGCTAAGAGGTGAAACTAACTATTAACTCTACTATTCCCTGGGATAAGTCTAAATGATTGATATAAACTGAAGTGTGTAAAATCTTGAATCCAGAGCTGCAGGTCTGTATAATCACTGAGATATATAATAGGTTTGAGTCTGTATAATGATTCTGATGTGTAATACACTACATAGCATATTACTTAGTTATCTTAGACTGAATATATTTTGCATTTGCCGAACATTGATTCATTTCTTTCCCACGGTAACTGACATTTTTGTTTTGCAGACATTAATTAGTTTTTTTTCACAGCTTTTATTCTTTATTCTGTGCAATCTTCCTTAATTATGTCCTGCAGCATCATATTTTCTCCACAGGGATGATAAATATTTCACATAAACCTTTCTAAAGGAGAACTTCAGTTCACACATCTCTTCTGCTCCCTACCCACAGACTGTAACTCAGTAATGAGTCAAATCAAGCAGCCGCCATCCTGTCATCTTAAAATGGCAACGTGTTGTTAAACAGCAGTTTGTTGAGAGCAATAATAGGGATCAAATCCAAATGGTGTCTGTCTCACATGCAGGAAGAGAGTTAACCTGATCCTGTCTAATGTCCCAATCCTCAAAATGTACCAGCTAATGAACAGGCTGATCTTTTATCTCAGAGATATTATTATACCAAGAAATATTTCAGTCTCCTTCCAGTGAAAAATGCTAATTGTTAATTCATTTGGGAGCTTGACACTATAGGATTGTGGGAGGGGTAGATGTAATTTTAGGAATTTGTAAGTAGTTTATTGAACCTTCTTCTGTGGAAAAAACACATCAGACAAATTATTATTGAAGGCAGAGAAATTCTAAATGATTTCCTCCCTCTGGTGTCATGCCCCTCTCTCGCTAATTATGGTCGTCTCGGTACATAAATAATGAGCAGCACACAAACTGAAATTAAAATTCAGTTTAATCAGTCGAGAAAAAAAACAGCTTGAGATCAGAGAGGAAACAAAGCTACGGCGGGTTTGAGGCCCCACTCAGGCCTTCAGGGTCGAGAGGCGAAGAGACAAACAGTTGATCCTCCTCAGTTGTTGAGTTGAAGCAAACAGTATTTGCAAATAGGTTTCAGTTTGTTTTGGGACTTCCCTCGTGCCAGATGGGTGGGGCTCACCACAAAAAGACAGTTCACTGACTGCCAGGACGAGTTGACAATCACTGGGAACTTAGTATTTTTCTCTGATGGATGACTTGGTTGATGCTATGTGTGGCTTGATTGGCTTCACTCCGTCCGTCTAGTATTTCAGGTTTGGTGAAACTGACTCTACAAATTATTTGCAAACACTAGTTCACTCTATTTTTGTTGAATGCAAAAAAGAAAAGAGGGCACAACCATAAGTGCTCTGGAAAATATCTTCCTCAAAGTCTGATTATTCCATCTTGGTCGATCTCTGGTCCGTCTGATCAGAAACAGTTTTCAGGATAGTTACCGTGCAGCGCCAGAGTAGAAAGTTCGAACATGGGCTGTTGGAAATGTGTTATTTCCACACATGGTTCAGTCTGAAACGGGAAGCTGCTGTGAGTTTCACAGTCCAACTGGCTCACAGTCGTCCTGGTCTGATCTGCAGAGAGAGAAGAAAATATAAAACAGCTCCGGATCGCTCTGTGTGGTTTCAGAGGTTCAATAAAAACATATGATCAGATGTACGTGTCCACTAATTGTGGTATAACAGAGGTTATTTGTCTTATAATAAATTGTGGTATACGTTATGAATAAATGGTTGTGATTTGCTACAGGGACAAATTCAATAGAAAATCCTTTTTCTCTTTTGGAAAAACATTAAATACAACATTTAAAATATGACAGTTTTATATTGTATTGTATATTTGAAGGAGAGGGCTGGCTATATTCCTTATTTGTCCTATTGTCAATAAATCCAACGATGAACTGATTATACTAACGAGTCTTATCTTTGTAGTCAAAGCCTGATATTATTGCTCTGAGCCACACGGCTCCATTGTTGTCCAAAAATAGTTAAACACATCAGTGAACCTCACTGTTGCACTGGTTGATATGTTGCTTCGTCATCATGATCACACACAGTTCACACAATCCTGCTGCTTTAAATACTCACTACAACTAATGTGTATTCATCTAACAAAGCCCTATTTTATTAGTTGTGTCTTACAACTCTGTGCAGCAGGGCTTATGTGTTAGGTGAATTCTAGTATTTTATCAAGATCAACACGATGATTATCATATTTTATATATGTCTTATTGCTGCTCTGAATGTCTATGTGTCATACATAGTTATAATCCGTTTTGCTTTGCTGTGTTTTGTTGCTTTCTGTTGCTTGAATGGAATTGTTGCTGTATTACTGAACTAATGTTTTGCTGTTTCCTGTTGCTCTGCACAGCTTGTGCACGGTCTTGACAACGCTTGTTTTGTTGCTGTTGCTTTGTGGCCTCCTGTTTCCTTCTGTCTGTAAGTTTTAAACATCACATCTCACCTAAGGACTTCAGCTGGGAAGTAGCCTGCTGGCTAACACTGGCTAACATCTACAGAAGTGTTGATTGATGTGTGTCGTCCTTGAAAATAAGTGAAAGTAAATCAGATGTTATTGGTGACACGTTAGAGATCTGCCTCCTCAGTAGGAACAGTGTGGTTTGTTGACAGTAAGAAACATATAGAATAACACCACCTTATCCTTTAAAAATAAACCAAGACTGACATTTATGTGAAAGTAAACCTCATTTTCCAAACTAAACTAAATAGTGAGCACTACTTACTAGTTAAATTATCACTTATCTACAAATGAGAAAATTAGCATATAACTAATATTATTACCTCCATCAAGGAGGTTTGTTTTCACCCGTATCTGTGTGTTTTTCAGCAGGATTTCGTAAAAAGTATTGAACCCATTTGCACCGAACTTGGTGAAGGCCCAGAGAAGAGCCCATCTGGATCATTTACTCTGAATTAGAGTTCTTTTCTCTTAAGTCTGCTGTATGTTCTTTGACGGTGGCCTTGGAGGAGGTCTGCGCTCTAGTTTGCGCTGGTTTCATTCTCCGCCTTGTCTTTTAAATCTACCTGTTGTCTATATTTGGAGTTGGAGATAAAGAAGCTGACATAGACAGATCAATGGATTATCTGCAGGAGATGTGTGTGTGCGTGTTCATTAGAAGATATAAAGTTAAATGTCACTTATCTTATAGTGTTTCATAATAAAAAGGTAAATGGTATTCAGGTCTTACTTTGAAAACCTGATTTTCATTGCCTTTATCTAACTTATTATCCAGATGTGAAGTAGTGGTATGAAGGCCATGTTAGATATGTACATACATAATTCAGGTAGAGTGAGAACCAAGAAAAATACACACAGAAACGCAGTGGTCCAGTACTCACATTTATGTAAAATCTTATAAATCTATTTTTAAAAAAATCCTACATCAACAAAACTATTTGGGTCTTGAGAGAACAGTTATAAAGAGTTACAACATCTGGAAGCCAAAGAGCCTTCACTGAAGCCATTTTATCAAAATTACTGTGTTGGAGCCACATTTCTAAAGGAGACTCCCATTTTAACGCCCTCCAAACAAAATATACAGCAAACGAACAGCTGACAACACATGTATTAAACATACCTCATCTCTCACCTCCGTTTACAATATTGACTTGAGTTGGTCATGTCCTCATATGTAAAGACTTTTATTTTGAAAAAGAAAACGATCTCTACAAGAGTAGTTTCAACATGAACTCTGGAAGTTTTGAAACTAACCAAAAAGTAAAAGCTCTCCACTTCCAGAGTCGATCGCGTGTCCAGTGCGGTGTTGTGTATTTTATGAACTGTAGTTGTACAGTTAGTATTATAATGATAGGTTGGGCTGTTGGTGGCTTCAGGGAATGTTTTTGAACCGGAGCAAACCCTGAAACCTTCATAGCTGTGGAGTCTGTGGTATTTGCTGCACTTGCTTTCAACCTTGCTCCAACAATCTGCCCTCACAGTGGACCACTGCTCACACGCCCATCCAGAGGCTCGATGCAGGAAGAGCTCTGCTCCCACAGGATTTATTTGTCTGCTCTTTAAAGCTTCAGAGAGACGCGTTTAAACCTGCAGCTCCACATGTTGCACCAGTTTGAAAAACGTGATTTCAGTCAAATCATGTGTCTGCTGCATACACGACACTCCACCGTGTCGATAAGCTCAGCTTCCTCTGGACAGACAGCTCGCTCCCAACAATCCACTGCGTACATTGTTTTGGAGCTGCAGCAGATTAGTTGGCATTCAGTGAATATATCATCTAACAACCAGGTAACAAGATACAGTATACTGTACGTTGTCTTTGATGTGATGTAATGCAGAGGTGGTGTGACAACAGATGAGACTAACGGCCTTTGTCTGCTTCTCTAATGATTTACAGCTCTTCCCTGCAAATCCAGTCATTTCTCAGTACTAGACAACAGAGAGCGTGTGCAACCATGTTCACACCGTTAACTACACCACCACGCAATAATAATAATAATAATAATAATACAGGCGGCATGTTGGTACAATAATTAGCACTGTCGCCTCACAGTAACAAGTTTCTGGGTTTGAACCTGGCTGCATGTTCTGCCTGTGCCTGCGTGGGTTTGCATTCTAAACTCTTTGTTGTGTGATGGCTTTTCTTTAGTGAAATATTTGCATTTTTAGGGCTTTTTTTTTTTGCCTTTATTCCAATAGCGACAGTGAGAGAAAGACAGGAAAGTCAGGGAGAGAGAGAGAGGGGGAGATATGCAGCAAAGGGCTGCAGGTCGGACTGAGCCCTGGCAGCTGCGGCCAGGACTACACCTTCATGGTACGCGCTCTACCAGGTGAGCCAGGTTTAGCATTTTGTGTGGGTTGTGGTTGACCTCTACAGGGTTGCACATCAGTCTCCTCTGAAGCTGAACGGTACAATGTTGCAGAGATGTGGTGCTACAAATGATGCAAGGTTGCTGTTTTTTTTTTTTGTCAATAATTAAAAAAAAAAAAAAGATATTAGCATTTAGCATGCATTTTGTGATCCACAGTGATGTACAAGCTGCGAGTTGTGAGTTAGCACAATGAGCTTTACAGCTGCACTAATCATTTTCTCAACCAAACTGAAGAACTTCTAAACAAGCTGAAAGACAGAAACAACTGACTAATCATTGCCCTATAAATTTGATGCAGAAAACACGTTGGCAGACTGTTGTCTATTTACACATCCAGCAGACATGGAGCAGTATCATTAATTTGGAGTCATCAGCCACCTGATGAATCTACATCCAAACGTTCACTACGTCTTTAGCTCTGTTTTGTTCTCCATCAATTCCTGAAAAAAAAAACCTGAATGTGAAGCTGCTGAGTGTTTGATTTGTAGCTTACAGTGCTGCTGCTGCTGCTGCTGCTGCTGCTGCTGCTGCTGCTGAGCTAAAGCACACTGAAGGGCTGCAGAGTTGGGTGATAATTGTTTGTGGATTCGTCCAAGTAAGAATTAAACTTTAAACATACAAGTTACTTGCATCTAGCACAGCTGCACAGTATGTTTTAAAGTTACGTTGTGTTTTAAATAGAGCCTGAAGGCACATGGTTCACGGAGTTGGCAACCACACCGACAACTACTTTGGTTTGCTGAGTTCAAGGGTAAATTATTAGACATTCATTGAGGGGATTGTTGGGGACTTTAGGGAAAGGGGTTCAATTTATCGCAGTAATGAAGACACATCTGGCTCTGAGCCTGTTTAATACGTGCGTCAGATATTCACAAGTCTGACTCACAACATGAATTAAATGATCAGACTTCAATACATTTTTATAAACTGCCCTTAAACTGAACATATGTACGTGGATCCATAATAAATGTCACATAATGCAGTTTTTCAAAGATAATATGCTGCAACATGTCTTGGCATGGATTCTCCGATGTCAGCAGCCTCTGGTCTGAAGGCTCATGTCTACATATGGTCATACTTGGGATGAGCTTGTGAGTCCACTTGTATACCTTCCAGATATCTCAGTGCATGGTTTAGTTCAAACTGTCAGAGCAGCTGTCTGGGGCTGTAATTTATCGTCATCAGAACATTACCTCTTATTGAGGCTGCCTCTCAGCGCTGCCATTAAGATGGCCTCCTTCGTAGTCCAGCTGGCACAGGATCATGTTGTTCTTGAGGAAAAACTTGTCTCCCACGCAAAATCTGCAGAGAGGAATAAAAAATATGGAACTGGGTCTCGGTTCTTGCTGGAGCTGAAGTGAATCATGAGGTCCCCGAGGAGTATTTCAGGCATATTTTCAGAACACATCCACTGCTATGATAATCAGAAAATTAATCTTGCATGATTGCTGCTTGATTAACTATCCAAGATATATACAAAGTCGTTAACCCCTTGAGGTTTTAAACTGTGCAATAAATTTCATCACCTCCTGATTGCGGTGCATTGGTGCTATGCTCGTCATGACCAGTGAGCTCACGAGTACACCTCCATGATAAGTCAACTGAATTTGATCTCCCCGGCTAATTGCTCCCCTAATCTTACCTCTGGCGGCAGAGCTGACAGGCGAAGCAGTCTAAATGGTAGACGTTGTCTCTGGCTCTCATCACCATCTCAAAGGCAGGGATCATCTTACTGCAGGCTGCACAGTTCCCCGTCACCCCGAAGAGCCTGCAGAGAGAGAGAGGGCGACAAGCAGACCTGTAGTCTGGACACATTTCAGCCAAGAAAACAACTATGAAATGAGGGGAGCCTTAAAGGTAGTTCAGTAATGAATGAATGCTGTAACAACAGGACATTTTGTTGTGCTGTGAACGCAGCATAACTACAGTTTCTTTTCTGTTTATTCTAAAAAAAAAAAAAAACACTAATGTTGCTCCTGTACTCAGCAAGCACAACATCAGTTGTAAAATCTTTCATAAACGGGACATAACTCTGATCTTAACTTATATCAGCTACTGATAGAGAGCAGCAAGGTGGAGATTCACTGACACGAAAATGCCTGAATTTATATGAAGATAATATACTTATTACCTTAAGAACCAGGGACTTTGACTGTGTCTTAGATAAAACAAACAGTCAGACTTCAGACAGACGTCTGAATTCATCTGTTGCACAAAGCAGTTTAGTTCTTGACTATCTTAAGCCGGACTGTGGCACACTGAATTCTGGGTAAATTAAGAGTCCTTTCAAATAAAATTTAAAAAAAAGGCCAACCAAAGAACTGCATCCAACCGCTGAGCTCTGTTTACCCCAGCAGAAAATATTTGTATACTGGAAGAATTCAACAGTTATAAGGACGTTTTACTTGGGAAATTCAGCGACGAGTGAAAGAAAATGTGAGAAAGTGGAAGTGTAAAAAAACTTGATTTCATAAAAATGGCTGTGAACACCCTTTCCCTTCCCTTTCTCTCTCCATAACAATGTTAGCAAACCACAAATTATGAGCCATGTTTTTTCTTGTTGGGTGCTACTTGTCAGCACAGGTGTCATTAATTGTTACCATGGTAACACTGGTCTTAGACTTGAGTTAGCCTGGGGGTGTCTAATGTTTCTTTGGCTTAAAATGACTCAGTCTTTTTTTGTGAAACAGTCTGACTTGCATTAAACTAATCTATGAGCAAAATGAAGACTGGACCAACACTACAGACCAGTCTAAGATATCTTTGTGAAACCGGCCCCAGATGTACGTTTTCTGCCTCACAGGACATTTTTCTGGCTTTACAGGTAAGAATTTGAGAGTCCATTTATTACCCTCTTCTGAAACTAAGAATTTATGTGACAGCATTTGAACTTTGTCCTCAAACTACCTGAGAACAAACCCCGTGTTGTTTTAATACTCAGTGACTCTGTGCTGACCAGCTGCAGATCGCCTCACCTCTCATTCACCTCGCACAGAACGAACAAACGGCTCCCTGAGAGCCTGACACACATGAAGGTAAGTGGCCGCTGCTGATTTCCATACTCCATTAGAGGCCAAATAGAAAAAGGAGGCTTTGGGAGGAACCGCTCTGAAAAAAAAAACGATGGGAAGAGGGAGGAAAAGCGCCGAGCATGTGTATCCCAGAGCCTCGGATGACAAATGAAAAACGTCATCAAACGGGTGACCAACACGGGAACAAAAGCGAGTCCTAATTAACAGAATGTTCTGATCTAACGAGCCTGAGTCCTGAACACAGGCACCTGGTGGGTTTTTTCCTTCTCCTTAACAAGGCTGCGAAGCTCAATGCTAATTCTCTACTAATGGTCCAATTAAAAGAAATCACATGGTTTTAATCCTGCTCTTCAAAGGCTTTTGGTCTGCACCCTCGCAATGATGAGGAAAACAGGAGGCAATCTAGCCAATTTAACTGTCAAAAGGGGTTTTGGTCTCTTAAGTGCAGCGCAGCTAATGAGAGACTTAGCTCCAACCAAATCCAGCTGGATTGTACATGAGACTAACACATGAGTTCAGCAATGTGGCTGAGATATCAGGAGTTCTCCTGCTGACCTGACACCAGACGTCGTTATTCCAGGCAAGAAAATGAAGGGTATATAACTCCCAGAGGAGCGATTTGAGCCAGATTTAGGTTTGTGTATAAGTGGTGTCATCGAGATTCATGGTCAGGAGGTTGTTAAGGTGGAAGGCTGTTTAAAAACATACTTACTCAATATGTTCATTGTATATTGTATCACGGTCACGAAAGATCTGGTGACGAACAACCTCACTCCAAAGGTTTGTTCAGACGATCTACAAACATTTATTTTTACCTGAAGGGTTCATAAAGAGGGTTTCAAGTGTGTTAAGTGTGGTAAACTTTGCATATGCAACAAGCATGACGGACACTTCAGTATGGTGTCTCTTTGACTTGGAGTCATTTTCTTTAAGCAGTTGTTTTGGGAAATACACTTAATGTTATATTCGCTTATTCAGATGATACCAGTAAATATGTAGCAGGAACTAACAAGCAGTTAGCTTAGCTTAGCACAAAGACTGGAAATGGGGAAACAGCTACCCCAGATCTGCTAAAGGTAAGAGAAGCTCCTCTAGAGCTCGCTAAGTATATCTCGTTTGTTTAACTTGCACAAAAAACAAAGTGTAAAAATAACAATTTGCAGTTTTATGGGGTGTAATGTATCAGTCTATTTCTTGGCTGGGAGCACTTGTCAGACAACAAGTGATGAGTAGGGAGTTACTGCCAAGACATAGTCCGGCAGTAACCCCCCCCATAAAACAGAGACTTGCCAACAGACAGAGCCAAGCTAGCTGTTTCCAGTCTTTATGCTAAGCTAAACCAACCAGCTGCTGCCTCCAGCTAATTAATTAACTGTACAGGTATGGGACTGGGATCAATCTTCTCCTCTACCTCTAGGCAAGAAACTGAATAAAGTTATGTCCCTAAATGTTGAACTACTCCTTAACATGGAATCGACTGATCACATCACTGTGTTGTCACTAATTTCTGTCTCTTTTCACTGTTTATTGTCTGATGAGTCAGTCAAATTAACGTGAAGGTTCAGTAAAAAGGTGAAGTAATCAGAGGAAGCCGAGCAGTCATAAACCACACGCTGCTCTGTTGTGGCTTCAAGTCCTTTAACAAACACTGGAAACATGCTGAAAGGTCAACAGTCTGCTTATCCTGTTACTGTACACTGCAAATCATTTAGTCCAGACTGTGTGAGCTCACTGTTGACTGTCTCTCTTGTTATCAACTCTCCTGAGCCTTTCACCTTCAGACTAGTTCAGGTTTTTATGAATGTAATATTTGTGTGTTTTAAACACATGGATCCAGCTTTAATGCACAGAGTCAAAACAGATTTGAGTAGCACAACCAAACATGGGTACAACATGACTGGACTCATGTTATCTGTATTCATTGAGGCGTTTTGTAGGATTTCTGAGAAACAAGACACTTCTCCTGAGAGTTTCGCCAAGTTTGGGGTAAAAATATCTGCGAACAGTTGATTATGTCTGTGACTTTGTACAGTTTGGCCATCTGTAAAAGCTGTTGTTTTATTGTTTTGTGTTGTAACGGTACATGCATTATTGCGTTTGTACATTTGTCAGTACATTTCAGTTTCCACAGGGCTGTCAACAGGAGGCCCTCAGACTGCAGTTAATATCTGTGTTCCAGCACCTTCTTTGATAACCTACATTATAAGATTATTCTCTTTTACTTGGATCTGATAGCAAATACTGTAAACTCTGCACTGGGCTTGTGGGGTGATTTGTTTTGAAGCTGCATGATGCACCCAGTCATTTTCTACATCTTCCTGACACACCTGTAGAGGGGTTAGGGTTACCTCAGGTAGTCCCTGCGGCAGAGGATGAGGTTGGCCCGGGTGTAGAGGGTGGAGCCCATCCGGCCCAGGTGGCAGTCACAGCAGGCGCACTTCAGACAGTCCTCGTGCCAGTACCTGTCCAGTGCCTGCAGCATGAAGCGGTCCCGGATCTTCCCGTTGCAGCCGGCACAGCCCCTCGGCTTCTCTCTGGACTGGAGAGACACGAGAGACACACCTGGCAGGGGACGGTCCAACAGGTAGACAAAAACAGTTGCAGAGAGAGAACGACATGTCAAAAGTCCATCATGATTAATGACTGAATTGATATGAATATGGAAATATTATAGGCATTGCATGCAAAATGCTTTGATCATAGTCAGTCACTACAGTGAATGCAAGGAAATTATAGAAATGAAGAAATAACCAGTTAAGTCACCTTAAATACAACAATAACAACAAATACAATCTCCTATCAGAATATATGATGGACACAATGTCAGCAAAGCACTATGAAGTCATTATTAGATAGACTACATATAGTCTAAACTTCCAGTTCCTATAAGACTACGACAGTGATTTTCTGCTGGGAGAGTATACCTTACCATTAATCTTAATAAAAGTATTTCACAGACTAAGCATCTGTTCTCTGCAGTTATTATTTTTATTTATTTTATGTTGCACAGTGGCACATAATCTTCCCAGTCCTAAAAACCTCTTCTTCTATCTTCTTTTATAGTAGAACAAGGAAACACACACATCTACACTTAGTGGCCACTTTATTAGGTACACCTGTACAGTCTATTGTAATTTAGTAGGACTCTTCAATAAATTCTACCTTTTTAAACATTTTCTTAAATGTGTAAATTCAATGTTGTATGTTTATTACTGTTTATGTTTATTATTAATGACATCGTTAGATGTTGTAGTTCTTTTAAAACAGCATTACATTGAGAGGTGTGTATCATTTTGTGTCTGCCTTATTTACAACTGTGAACCTCTGAATATAATATAATATAATATAATAATAAAAAAGCAGTCAACACAAACAATGGCATTAATGCTAATGCCTATAATTAAACCAGCACCTCTGTGACAGAGTCAACAAACACGGAGCATAAAAGTAGACTTCATGGCAGAACAGCTGGTTTGCATTAGATTGTACAGGTGTACCTAATAAAGTGGCCACTGAGTGTATATGTAATTATATCAGTTCAAACTGAAATACATCTCTGTACTCACTCTCCTCCTTGTCCAACACCATCCTGGTGGAGAACGACAACAATCCAACAGCAGGAGAAATGACACCTCTTCTTTATTCTTCTTCTCCTCCTGCCTGCAGGACACCACCACGAGGAGCGGTGATCAACACAGAGGGCTTTGACTCTCTGGATAAATTACAAGCCGGAGTCGCTCAAACTCCAGCCCCGCTCCTCATAGTCCCCGCAGAAAGCCAGAAGAAACAGTGAGAGAGGCGCTTTCTGAGCGTAAAAATAGCCCGTGGATGGAGGGAAACAGCGTCCCCGGGTATCACCTTGCCGGCAGGAGAGGTGTCCTCAAAACAAGAGTGGCTGTGCTTTATCTTGGCTGATGTCAGTGCATAAGCATTTCTGTATCTGCACAGGCTGCGGCTGTTCCCCTCAAATGAGCTCCACTGCACAGACTGAGCCTCCACACTGCTCCCTCCCTCCCTCCCTCTCCCTCTCTCTCCCTCTCTCTCTCCCTCTCCACAAAAAACTCCCACAGTCAAATGGTTTTTTCAACGCTGCGTGCTAATTATATAAAGTCATTATGCTCAGATCTGATAGTAACCGCCCCCTCCCTCTCTGAATCAATTATTCAATAGACAGTCACACACCAGGACAGCTCGGGCCTGAGGTGTTTTAGAATGAGCTTATTCAACTCCAAGGACACCAATTATCTCCAGGGCGCCCTGTAGTCAAAGCTGTGGCTTTTCAGCACGGCAGATGCAGCGCCTTTTCACGTGTACGCGCGCGTGTGTGCGTCAGCATGTGTGTGTTTGTGTGTGTGCACGTGACATACATTCAGTGTGTCCATCCGTTATTTGTGTGCTTAAGTGTATTTCTTTTCTAAGTCAGAAGTAGTAACAGCTCAGATGAGGATAAGAAAATACTCAATATTGCAGCACCACTCTCCAATAAGGCTTCCTTTATAAATAATTTAAAAGTGGTAAGTATTAGTTTTATTAATGGTTAATAAATGATTTACTAATGCTTTGCAAATTAGTCATAAGAGCAACGTTTGTCAGTTTTAAAGAGGGAATAAAAGTAACCTAAGTAAACAAGTAAACACACATAGAATAAATCTAAAATGTGCACATGTGAAGCATATAACATATCAAAAGACTGACAGCCCACTTAATGGATTATTAACTTATATAGCTACATTATTACCAATTTAAAAGGTAATAACCAACCCAAGGAGTTTTTCACAGTCTGCCAACTGTTTCCAATTAATGGCTTATGACTTATTGTTTAATAATTAACAAAGCCATTAATCACAGTTTATAAACCCTTTAGATGGGATGAGAGGCCTTATCAGAAAGTGGAATCACAGGATACATTTAAGACCATTAACATCTATAACAGCAGTTATTGGTGTCTTACCATAGATCTTGAATATCACAGGACTGTTTTAGCAAGGTAATTTATATAGAGTTTATAAAGTGGTTTGAATGAATTGACAAGAGACTCAACAGTAGACTGAATAGCAGACTGCAAGATACATCATAAAGTAATAACAAGTCAAGATAAACTACCGGTCACTGTAGGAGAGTTTCAATATAATTATAGGAATGTAAGTCATTGAATATTAAAGGAACACAGGGGATGACAACAGTATAAAGTATAAACATAATAGTTTACAGACTGACTGACTAGCTTAGCAGGCTGACCTTGTAGGAATATTGTAGTGATATCATCACACCATAAAGAAGTTATATGTCACCATAATATCCCCTGTAGGGTTTTTGCATATGAGATAAAAAAAACTACAGTAGCTAAAGCTACAGTAGATCTAAAACTAGACTTGGATTGTATTGGATCTGGTATGATGTGTGGCATATGTTTTTTAGGAATGTACGAGATGAAAACTGAGTGTAGCAATATGACAACTAAACCATGTAGGAATAATATTGTGATATTAATAACCATATAACATGCTCACCATGATGAGATAAGTGATCACATTAATTAGCTTGCAGATCAGGCTGGTTTTTGTAGAAATATAAGCAAAACTGGAATTTGTCTGAAAAAGTGTGATATGTACGGCTGCAACTATTATTTTAATAACTGCCATAATCTGCCAGGTATTTTCTCGATTAAATGATTAATCATTTATGGTTAGAAAATGGTTTTGTCCGGAAAACAATCCAAAACCCAAAGATGCTTCATCAACTATAATATTTAGAAATCAAATATTCACATTTAAGAAGCTGGAGATCATCAGATGATGAAGAATCACGTAGATGACCTCACAGGACAAGAAAAGCAGCAAATCCTCACAAACGAGAAGCTGGAATGAGACCGTGTTTGGAGTTTTTGTGGGAAAAAACATTTAAATGATAAAAACTGATTACAAAAATAATCAATTAATGGTTGCAGCTTCAGTGATATTACAGTATTATGAGAGATGTCATACTGTAAAGCAGATATAGCTCACTGTAAACTCAGTGAACCTCTGTATCATTCTACAGGTACCTGAGGGAATACCACAGGAATATTTAAGGACTGTGAGACAAAAAATCAGTTCTTGAATATTATGGTAATTTATATACACAATAGAGAGTCGTACGTCACTATAGACTCACTAGTAGACCAATTATACAACTGGTCTTTGTGGTAGATCTATGACCTACAGTAGAACCACCAGACTACAGCTCATGAATATCATAGAACCACTGGAGATAAAACCAGTTAAAAGTTATATATAGTAACTATGCTGTACTTATTAATGGACCTAACACACACTGTGAGGCCTCTCACACAGACTATTAAGGGAATAACACGGACGAAATCTAAATAGGATTGGAATTCACTGTTGACTCCCAGACCCACTGTAAGTCACTATACTGAGGATTTAGGAATAAAAACACCACAAACTATGGGAAGGTCATTATTTAAAGTTAATATTGAGCACCACAGAGACGTTATTAGTCCCTGTGGATAGATTATTGGAGAGTAATAGTGATTTTTCATTGGGCTTTTCAAGGCCAGCCCTGACCCCAGTCCATAAACAACGCTGCCGCCTGCTTCCAAATAGATCATCCGGCCCTAAATCCTCCTCATTAGAAGTTGTGGCATAAACAACTGTTCTAACATGGCCCCTGGATCAGGTCACACTAATTAACCAGCACCATCGACCGACTATTCCCTCATTATCCGCCTTCTCATCTGATCACATATAGACCGTCAAGACAGCTAACGATCAACAGACTAATTAATCAGCTGATGAGGTGCAAGTGAAGCTCCAGGTTCCCTCTTCATTTGCGAGACACATGGGAGCTAATTAGTTCAATTATTAATGCATCTAATTAAATAGTTTCTCTGGGTAATCATGGTTACAGTCTTGTCCTCCATGGGCTGCGGTGATAAATGGATCCTCCGTGCATTAGACCCCTCTTGTCCTCTATTTTGACATACATCAACTCCAATGCAACGGCTGGCCCCGACTAAACATTACAGGCTATTCACAGGCCCTGGACCCCATTAGACTAATTGCGCTAAAAGCAGTCTGTGGCCGACATTAAAGGTGAGCTGTGGTTAGGGCTCTAATTAGCAGTCTGTGAAAATAGGAAGCCTTTTTGGCCATCTGCTGCAGCTTGCCTTGCTGTCATGTCCTCAGTGTGAAAAGGGCAGGGACAAATTTAGAAGATGTATTGTGGAAGGGCTGTTTGTCAGACATAATGCCACGAGAGGACGGGTCACCAGGACCACATTTTATACAGTAACAGCTGAATTTGGAGGAGAGAAGACTAGAAAACTGCTGCAATTTGTGGCTGGCTGCACATGGTTTTGCATATGAAACCACAGCCAGCTGTTTCTTGTCAGAGCAGAAAGAGGAAACCAGTGTTATTCTGACTAAGAACCAATTTTCCATCGTTTACATTGACTTTACATTTCCATAATTTTCTGACACATGTCTTAATTTGATTTCTTCTTTTCCAAATGCAATATTCAGGGTGTCCCAGGTAAAACACAACAGACTGAAGTTTGTTAATTTCTAGAGATTATTTTCTGGATTTTCTTCTATGTTTAGTAACGTTGCACCACTTCAGTTCAGACTGAAATATCTCAACAATTACTGCATGAATTGCTGTGACATTTAGTTCAGATATTCATGGTTGCAAGAGGATGAATCCTACTTTTCATCCAGCGCCACCTGCAGGTCAAGATTTTACTGTGTCTAGTATTTTAATTAATGACCAAAGAGATGCAAAAGTCCTATCTCCACTCCCATCAGCCCCAGCTGTGCTTCGTGTTCAGGGCTAATAAATAGCAGGTGTTTCCATGATAAGATGCTGCACTAAGATTGTGAACAACTGCCTAACATCAGTGTGTTAACATTGTCATTGTGGGCATGTAACCATTTAACTTAAAGCCCTGCACTGTGCCGAGGTGCTGCCTCACAGAGCTGTATGGCTGTGGCTGCTCTTGGTTTTACTTTTGATTAACTACTTTACTTTCTTTTACTTTTTTTTTTTATTATTATTATAAGACTAGACATGTATTCTTCCATGACAGCTGAGCAGTCAAAGCTCCACACCTACTGAGTAATTGAAGTTGGACAAGGCTGTTTTATCAACTGCTGTTTGTTTCCATGGTCAGTAATGAACTGTCAAGCTCAGAAATTCTATTATTTTTTCTTTGTCAGTTAATTGACAGGAAGCAAGATATCACATAACACTGCAATTATACGAAAAGTGTTGTCTTTTTTTTTTTGAAAATTAGATAAGGATCAAATCAGAGGAACCTTGACCAAACCAAATGAAAACATCACATTTACTGCAATCAGTTATTTCACTCTGTTAAATTTGTTTTTCATTCAGGACTGAATGGCACTTCTGAGAGGAGAAAAAACAAGGTCTGACATCCACAACCATTGATTCAGGATGAATGGAAAGAAGAGAAAAACATACAGCAAAGATGCGTTTTCACACAAGCTTCACAGGCAAAGTGCTGAACAAGGCGAGCTCGGCTGACGGTGACTGAGCTGCACCTGAACTCCCAGGAGGTCAGACCACCAGGGGGAGGGTTGTTTTCTCCGATCCCTGGACTGGGTGGGAAAATGTGTGGAAGAAAAGCAAGTGACAACATAACACTACGCGCCGATTTGTGTTTAATTGCGCTGAGCAACAGACTCTGGCTGATGTGAGGCGTCCATGTTTGTTTGGTTTTCATGCACCTCTTATTATCTCCTACAGTAGACTAGTAAGTTGGTGTAACACTATTTAAAAGTCCGAAACCGGTGATCACGGTCCCACCATCACTGCACCACTACTAAGGTAAGGCACCTCAACCTTCTGAAGCAATTTTCTCAAACCAACAGTCCAGGTCGGGCAGGCCTGTGGAGCAGAGTTTACAGGGTTTAAACTTCTCTCTTTTGT